ATTGCTCATCACAAGCAATGCAAGTAAGAAAACAATGAAGCAGCATCTCTTTTCTTTCTTTCTTTTTTTTTCTTTTTTTTTTAAATCTTGGAACTGCTATTTACTTGTTCCTTAAGCACATGATTTAAACGAACATTTTTAAAGCAACACACACACACACACACACACACCTCTGGTGATCTAATGTTCTATACCAATAAACTTTAAAAACTTGAATCAATATAAAGACATTTTCAGATATACAAAAGCTGAAATAATAACTAGCAGATCTGCAATACTATAAATATCAAGGAGAAATCCTTCAGGAAGAAGGACAATAATTTCAGATGGAAGTTTATATCAACACAAAAAATGTAAATGTGTGAGTAAATATAAAATATTTCTTATATTTTTAATCCTCTAACATAATTGTTTTAAAAATATAATAATATAACTGCCCTTCCCTGCAGGCCTGGACACCCCTAACTTCCCTGCCCTGCAGACCTAGTCACCCCTAACTACCCTCCCCTTCAGGCTTGATCACCCCCAACTACCCTCCCTTATAGGCCTGGTCCCTCCCAATATCCCTCCCCTGCTGGCCTGATCACCCAGAACTGCCCTCCCTTACAGGCTTGGTGCCTCCCAACTGCCCTCCCTGCTGGCCATCTTGTGGTGGCCATCTTGTGGAGGCAGGATCTTTGATCATATGGTGGCAACCATCTTGTGTGTTGGAGTGATGGACAATCTGAATATTAATCTTTTATTGGATAGGATAGAAGCCTGGTGCGTGAGTGGGGGCCAGCTGGTTTGCCCTTAAGGGTGTTCCGGATCATGGTGAGGGTTCACTTGGAAAATGGGGTGGAATGGGCAAGGGGCCTATTGTTGTTTGCAAGCCAGCCATACCCTCTGGTAACCCAAGTGGAGGCCCTGGTAACTGGGATTTATTTATCTTCTATAATTGAAACTTTGTAGCCTGGAGCAGAACCAAGTCTTCTGCTCTCTTCATGGTGGCAGCCATTTCTGTTGGGATTTATTTATCTTCTATCATTGAAACTTTGTAGCATTGAGTGGAGGCCTAGTCCAGCAAGGGCAGGCAGAAAGCTTGGCTTCCTCCATTGCTGGGGAAACCCAAACTTCCCTCCTGCTCTCCATGGATGCATAATGGTTGGGTTTATTTGCATATTCACTTCTGATTGGCATGTGGGCACGGCTTGTGGGAGTAGCAGAGGTACAGTCAATTTGCATATTACTCTTTTATTAGATAGGATGTATGAAAATAATAGCATATGTTGTGAGGTGCTTCAGTATCTGAGTCAGCAAGCTGAAGACCCAGGAAATGTAATGTTTAATTACAGTCTGAGTCTGAAGGCCTAAGAACCAGGAAAGCTAATGATATAGTTCTTATCCAAAGGCTGGCATTATTGGGATCCAGGAGGAGCCAATGTTTGAATTCAAGTTGGAATGCAGGATAAACCCAGTGTCTCAGTTCAAATGCAATAAGGCAAAAGGAATTCTTTCTCGGGAAAGAGCCAGACTTTTTGTTTTAGTCAAGCCCTTAAAGGATTGGACAAGTTCCATCAAGTTGGGAGGGCAACCTACTTGACTCAGACTATAGGTGATTTAAATAAAAATAATAAATAATAGTAAATAAATAATAAAATAAATGTTAATATCATCCAAAACACTGTCATCAAAACATCCACAATAAGATTTGACCAAATATCTGAGAACCCTGTGATCCTGTCACATTGACAAATAAAATTATTTATTCCCAAAATATAAAGTTTAACATTCTATAGTCAATTAACACAATTCACCATTTAAGAGAGAAAACTGTTCATCTCAAGAGATGACAGAAAAAAAATTAGTTTACAAAATTTAGGACCTGATTCTGTTTAAATCTCTCGGCAAACTGAAAATAGAAGCAGTGTATAAACCTGACAAAGGGATTTCAGGCAATACAACTAAAGTCTCATTTAATGCCAAAATACCAAATAAAGTCCAAGCTGACTTTTTTCTAAATGTTAGGTCAATTCAATGAGGAAGAGACAATATCTTCAACAAATGCTGTCAAACTACTGTATAACAATATGCAAAACGAACAAATAAAAACCAAAAAAACTTTAACCTATAACATACAAAATACTTACCTCAGCTGAATCATAGCCTCAAATTTAATGCCTAAAACAAAAAACAAACAAACAAACAAAAAAAAATATACTTGAAAACAGAGGAAAATGGAACCTTGGCTTCTGGAATAATTTAACAGATTAAAAAAAAAAGTACTATTCATGAAAGAACAAATTGATAAATTTAACTTCAATAATATTAAAAAATGTCTCTTCTTCATAAAACACTACTAAGTGGATATAAAAATGAGTCAGACACTGGGAGAAAATTTTGCAAATCTCATACCTGGCAAAATACTTGTATCCAGAATATACAAGGAACTCAGAAAACTCACTAATAATTTAAAGTGGACAAAGTTTTGGGCACTTCACCAAAGAAGATATATGGATGACAAATAGGCACACTTCCCAGTTCATTAGTGAAAAGTAAATTAAAATTTCACAGATATATCACTATATACTAGGGGTGTCTAAAATTTTAAAAAAGACTGACCATGTCAATTTAGCCAGCATATGGATAGTCTAGAACTCTCCTACATTACTGTTGGGAATGTAAATTGGTAAAATCACCTTGGCAAACAGTCTGGCAATTTTTAAAGTAAGTTAAACATACATTTACCATATGCCTCAGTCATTCTACTCTTAGGCATTTACTTGAGAGAAAGGAAATAATATATTTATACAAATACTGTACTTGAAGGTTTGTAGCAGCTTTAATTTTAATAGCCCCTAAACTGGAAACAACACAAACAGGGATCTAAAGGTTAATGAATAGGACAGTTATGGAATATCCACACACTACTATAAAATTACTCAGTACTATTGTTATATGCTACTACATCAATGATTATCAAAATAATTTTGCTGACAAAAAAAAAGATAGATAAAAAAGAGTAGCTAGTCCATTATTTCATTTAGATAAAACTGTGGGAAATATTACTATAGTTATAAAATGCAGATGTGTAGTTCCCTGTAGATGAGGTGGGCAATGAGCTGTGAGAAGGGCAAATAAACAAAAGGAGTGTGAGAAAAGTCTGTAATTGTGAATGTGATTATGTTCATTATCTGGGATTGGCAATTTGTGATGATGGTTTTATGGACGTATACATATGTCAAAACTTATCCAAATGTGCACTTTAAATATGTGGTGTTTCTTGCATGTCAATTATACCTCATAAAAACTGTTAAATCCAATCCTAGTGAGAATTATTTATTCTCACATATACACAACTTTGTAGGGCTAGGCTGTTTTAAGCAAGGACCAACTGGATGAATCCATTTCATAAGGAGTGGCTAGAACTGATATGCATCCTACTAAAGAACTATGGGTAATATCGGGTGGCTATGCTTCATATGTCTCTCTATCCACACTCTCCAGGTTCTTATGATAATGGTAGAGTGAGAAAACATGAAAGAAAAAAAAAAAGGCACACACAAAACAAGGCAAGGCATCTTAAATCTGTGATTTGTAAATGACACAGTCATTCCTGACTCTTCAACTTCTTAAAACAAGTCACATAATCCATTTCAAAGTCAAGGGTAGAAAATATACTTCACTCAACACGAGGCTATAGTAAATGTATGGTTGAAATGATGGTTGAGGAATCAAGCCAGTAAAGCAATCTAACATACACACACACACACACACACACACACACACCCCACACACATACACACACACACACACACACACACACACACACACACACACAGAGTATTTTGCTCAAAAGGGCCAATATATTTTGAAAAGTACTTCAAAGAAACAGGAAATCATAGTGCTCCTTATCTTTATAACTTTCCATTTTATTGTAACTCTCATCTCCTAAAACTTTGTATATCAATCATAATCAAGAGGTTTTAATATAAAATTGATAGCTAAATATGTCAATTAAGTTATAACAAAATTCCTGAGAATATTATTTTAAAATTACAAAGTACCTGATCCTATGAAAAACAAAAATAAAATAAAATGTACCCTGGCATCCTCCTCAATTAGCTGTACAATCATCTCAAATTAGCCCTCAGCTATTATTGTTGAAATACAAACTGATGATACATTGAAATATATAAATTCCTCCACTATTATATATTTTTCCAAATTGAAATTCCCATGTAGCTCATTGTGTTATTTTTAAACTGTTTGGAATTAACACAAGTTCTAAATGTTCTCCACATTTTACTTTTTCCTCATTTTTCTGAAAAATATCCAAGAGAATTTTAAGGCTATTTATGTGTATATAGATTTTGGAAAATGTTGAGACATATTACTCATCCCCCTGGATTAGTAATTCTGCTGACTAACATAGCTGCCCACACAGTGTTCTAGCTAACATAAGAGGATGTTGGACCATTGAGGATATACTATAAAATATAAACTGATAATTCTTAGGGGAGCAACTTACATTTGTTAAAGTAAGTTAATAATAGCTATATTATCTACATAAAGTACTTCTCCAAGATGAAACACAAAAGGCTTCTGGGGAATTTCAGGTCAAATAAAATTCATATTTTAGTCTGAATATAAAACATTGCAACAGTCTTCCTCAGAAGAACAGCCATAACATTCAAACTGAAAGGACAAGAATCTCTTAGGACATGTTCTTTCTCTGACATTTATAATAAGTGTTTGCTCACAGCAAGAGAAAGAAACAGCTGAAGAAAAAAGGTTTAACTCTATCACTTTAAAGGTGTGTGATTTTCTCTGTTAACTGTCCTTTAAAACTGGCTAACTCGAGAATAATTGTTGTGTACAAAACCCAGCCTTATGTATATTAGTGGGAACATGCTGTCAAAATAATATTTGTTTTCCTGGCCATTATAGCTGCAGAAAGGTGGCGAGGGAAGGTAGAAGGAAAATGTGAATTTAGAAGACATTTATTTCTTTTTCCACAGGCACAACTCAAAAGATGGTAAATGTAAAATAATAATAGACCTAACCTTGGCGGCTGAACTCGGTATAGAAGACCAGGCTCTGAGCATCCCATGTCCACCCTTTTGATCTTATTATTGTGACACAGAAGGAGAGGAAAGCCCTGCTGCTCGGGAAAACAGATCATGGATGGAAAGGTAAATGTCAAGGAGAAATCATAAGCAAAAGGAACAACATTGGTTTGCATGGCATGCCAACTAAAAAAACACCATCGCTGGAAAACAGTGAGTGAAACTGTAGGAAAGAAAATGAAAGGCTAGTAAGGTCATTTCTCTAAAGCACACAGAAGTGCTAACTTGCCAGTTTCCTGACTTTTTCGTTGAAGGATATTTTTGGGAAAATGTGTCACATGCGTGAGTTCATGTTTTTCACAAGAATAACATGAGGGATTTAGGGTTTTTCTTTGTTGTTATTTTATTACTCCACTGGATGGTCCTTATATATTGCCTCATTTGTCACCAGAGCTTTTCACCTTGCTATTTCTGGACCTATCAATGGTTCATATAGTGAGGACTGAATTGGGAAGTTCAGAAATAATTGACCACAGAACACAAATAGTCTACTGGTTTAGAACAAAGATGACAGCACCAATTATACTTTTCCCAAGTTCCACCTCCCAGAAGAAGAGCTTACGTTTTAATAAACGCTTGTCTGAAGGCCACATGGTTTGTTTGTATATTATTGCTTGGTTAATAACAATGACAAATCAGGATGGTTCTTTTACCAAGCAGTACACAAACAAGAATTTTATTCAATCTGTTTACATTACTGGCCTTGACATTTGCCGAAACATCAGTTCCAGTTTACCTATTCCACGACCCTAGTGGCATATGCAGTATTTCAAAATTAGGCACATACTTAAGACTGGACAGTGTAATTTTCCTGTATGTCCAGAATAGCGAATTTGAATAGTGAACACCCTCTGCTTTAGAGGGTCACCATGAAGTCATTTATATAATGAAATATAAGACCACATGACACAGGAGAGATTTGCAATATAAAACGTAGGCTGTTAAAAAGGAGATTAAATGCCCTAGCCAGTGTTGCTAAGTGGATAGAGTCAGTCTGCAGACTGAAGGGTCCCAGGTTTGATTCCGGTCAAGAACACATACCTCAGTTGCACACTTAATTCTGGTCCTGGTTGGGGTGCCTGGGTGAGGCAACCAATTGATGTATCTCTTTCTCATCAATGTTTCTCTCTCTGTCTCTCCCCCTCCCTTCTAGTCTCTCTAAAAAATCAATGTAAAAATATCCTCAGTTGAGGATTTTTTTAAAAAAAGGAGGCTAAAACTTAGAATCATAACATTCTCAATCAAATCAGTATGTGTGTCAACATAAATAGAAAACAAAGTAACTGGAATATATCCTGAGCAGTTAACTATTTTATTTCCTGGATATTATTATTAACTGGCTTTATATTTTCTTATTTATATGACTATATTATGTTCTATCAGCATGCATGTGCATTTGCGATATAAAAATAACAGATCTACACAGGTATAAATATAGGTACACAGATATATACACTGATACCTTTAAAGATGATGAATAACACACCAGTTTTACCATTAGGTATATACTGGACTCCCATGAGAAATATTATTAGGTAACCTACACCTGTCAAGACTGTGACTTACTCTTAGTGACATGGTAAAATCTCGCATTCTGCCCTGGCATCATTTCTCCTTGTTTTCAATGTCATACTCTCAAGGAGCTAAGAGTGATCTCAGACTAACAGTTTTCTAAAAAATGAACTGTGGCAATACAGCTCCAAGGAAATGAATTCTGCCAACTGGTTTGAGGGCGCTTGGAAGCTGAAGTCTCTCGATGCAGCTGGCTGGTATCTTGATAAACTGAGATAAACTGACATTCTGTACCTCCAACTGTGAATCGCTGGAAAGGATATACAATAGGCAATGTAACCTAAGCAGTATCCTTATTTAAAAACATTAATCTGAGTTTATAATGAGAAACTAACCAGACAAATTCAAATTGATAAACATGCTCCCAAACAACTGGTCTGGTTTCCTAAAAAATGTTGATGTCATATAAATAAAAAAGTAGGGCCATGGCCAGTGTGGCTCAGTTGGTTGGGCATCATCCAGTGCACCTAAAGATTGATGGTTCAGTTTTCACACGCCAGGGTTATCAGCTCAATCCCTAGCAGGGGGCATGAGGCAACTGATTGATTTTATGCTCTCACATCAATGTTTTTCTCTCTCTCCCTCTCCCTTCCTCTTTCTCTAAAAAATCAATAAGCTATTATAAAAAATAAAGTAAAAAGTGTAAACATTTTCCATTTTAAACAAGAGTTAAATGGCATCTCAATTAATATGCAATATGTAATATACTGAGACAAGTCTATAAAAGACATCAATGACATAAATGAGGAAATTTTAATATGGGCTCCATAGTAGATAATGCTATTTTATTAATCTTAAATTTTCTGAAACTGATACTACTTAATAATTAACAACACTTGAGCTTGCACTTTTAAAATATTTACTTTTGTATATTTCTGACATATTTTTGTTTACTTCTTAAAAAAATATCCCATGCCATCCTAAGATCTAAATTCCACAATATCCAATTTCTTATCTGTGCAACTCACAGTGGTATTCTTTGAGCTAGGAATAATGCTTGCCCAAGTTTTAATGTGGTGGCTAACATAAGAATGACAAGATTTCTGCCATACCTCTGGGATTGCTACCAAAGTGACCAGCTCAAGGGGCCTAAGACCACTACCTATGCCTGGCCAGCCCTCCGGCTGAGTATCAATATCTTGGTACTTTTATAATTTATTCAGATCAATTATTCAGGTAAAGAATAGAGTTTGGGAAGTAATTAGAATAGGCTCTTGGATCAAATGGACCTAGAGTGAAGTTCCTGCTTTGCAGGATATAAAATGGCAGATCTTGTGCTTCAAGCTCTTGATTAGTAGAGAGGAGTGATAAAATGTCTGTAACATGGGAGAACTGGGAGGATGCAATGGAATAAAGCATGGGCTTTATTATCACAGAAAAATGGGAGGGTTTTTAAAAAATGATTTGATACTTATATGCACTCCCAGGTCATTTATATTTTATAAAAAGATAATTAAGAGCATTTTGGGGGTAAGTGGGGTGGGAAACTTAACCTGACTTAAGCCTCCTTGTGATCAATACTTACACTAGCATACTCTAAGAAAGACATCAATGAGTGCGGTTTCTATAGGAAAATGTAAAATATTTACTATATAAAATATTAAGAGGAAGTTTGCTATGAGTTACACCAGGATCAAAGTGTCTAGATTCTCTGGTTTTTAAATGATTTAAAAGAAGTTTCTTCTCTATCAACTCCCTGTGGAAAGATGTTATTACCTATTATTGATAAAAATATAAGCCTAGAAACTAGAAATAAATGTTTACCTTAAAAATTTTGTCTATTTTATAATTGGTACATACAATTAAAGAGTGGAAAACTTTGGAACAGTATAATTCACAGTTATTGATTTTAAACTTTCTCCCCATTTTCACTTAGTAAATGGTAGGTTTTCATCTCAAGTTTTGCCCAATGCCCAAAACTTAATAGTAGTTTTTATTTAGTAAAATCCCATCCTGTTTGAAGATTTTGCTATTAATGGCTTTATTAGGACATTGATTTAAAAATTTCTGTAAGAAAAATGTGGTCCTTCCTTATTAACTGCATTTTGAATAACTTATATCTGTTCTGTTGAACACTCCCCTTTGATCTACATTGCATTGCACTAATGATTTTTTGCAAACAAAAGGAACATGTTTTCCATATTCTCTCAGCGAATAGTGAATCTATATGAAAAATGTCAATATAATAAGTTTAGATTAAGTACAGTGTTAAGCATGGTTTGTAACACCCATATTTCATTAATGAGTAATATTACCTATCTTTTATGCTTTGACTATTCAACAGAAAAAGAACATTTGCAATATACCTACAGACAGTGGTTACAACATACATCCAAACAACCAGTCACAGAATTGCTGGGAGTGGAAAGAAGAGACCAAAATTAGCTTTTTAATCAGAATGCCACTAGCTCTGTGCCTAAAAATTATAATAGAGCATAAACTCCATCCTTTATGCATCAGAATAGACTAAGATATGTCCTACTCTCTTTTGTTTTACATTTGCTTCTATATAAAGCATTCTTACTGCAAAGACATTCAGTAAGAAAATAGGGACCTCAGTATTACAATGGGAAGAAAATAAATTCTATGGGATTATATAAAAATAAAAAGCTTCTGCATAGCAAAAGAAACCATCAACAAAACAACAAGAAAGCCTACTGCATGAGAGAATATTATCACCAATAAGAATTTAATCTCCAACATTTACAGGGAACTCATACAACTTAACAAAAGGAAGGCAAACAACCCAATTTAAAAAATTAGCAACAAACTTAAATAGATACTTTTCAAAATAGGGCACCAGGAAGGCCAAGATACATATGAAAACATGCTCAAAGTCACTAATCATCCAAGAGATGCAAATAAAAATGATGTGGTACCATCTCACACCTGTCAGAATGGCTATCATCAACAAAGGATAACCGCTGGAGAGAATGGGGAAGAAAAAGAACCCTTATGCACTGCTGGTGGGAATGCAGACTGGTGAAGCCACTGTGGAGAACAGTATGGAGTTTCCTCAAAAAACTAAAACTGGAACTCGAATTTGACCCAGATATCCCTCTTCTAGGAATATATCCCAAGAAACTAGAAACACCAATCAGAAAGGATGTATGCTCCCCTATGTTCATAGCTTCACAATTCACCATAGCCAAGATTTAGAAACAGCCTAAGTGTCCATCAGCAGATGAATGGATTAAAAAACTGTGGTACATCTACACAATGGAATACTATGGTGCTGTAAAAAAGAAGAAATTCTTACTGTTTGGAACATCATGGATGGGTCTGGAGATCATTATGCTAATTGAAAGAAGCCAGTCAAGGAAAGATAAATATCACATGATCTCACTCATTTGTGGAATATAATGAACAACAGACACTGATGAACAAAAACAGATCCAGAGACAGAAAAGCATTGATCAGACCCTCAAACCTCAGAGGGAAGGCAGGGGAAGATGGAGGGAAGGGGGAGAGATCAACCAAAGGACTTGTGTGCATGTATATAAGCATAACTAATAGACAGAAACACTAGGGCGGGGGGAGGTGAGGACATGAGTGGAGGGAGGGGGAGCTATGGGGGGGATAAAGACACATATCTAATACTTTAATCAATAAAGAAAAAAAAAGAAAATAAATTCTAACAACAACCAAGAATGTTTAGAAGAGGACCCCCTGGACAAAGACAGCCCAGCCATGTGTTACACTGAAGCCTTGTAAGACACTGAGCAGAGGACCCACATAAAAGTTGCCTGTACTTCTGACCGTGGAAACTATTGAGATAATAAATGTATGTTGTTTTCAGTCACTAAATTGTTACACGATGATAAAACTCTACTGCATACTACCTCACCTACAAAATATCTCAGTACCTTTTCTTGCATTTCTTCTGTGTCCAAATACTTAATACCATGTCCCTCACTTTTGTCTCTATTTATCCTCTGGACTGACATCATGTGTCTCCTCTCAGAAGACTACTGTGACTCACTACAGAAAAATTAGGTTCCTTCCTTGCTTCTTCCCATGGTAGTTGTATATGCTTACTTACATTTTATTTTAATGAATTCCATATGAGGCTTTTAAATGCAAGAATCATGCTTTATTAGTATTCTTATTTGGTCATATTCTCTGTTTATATATTGTACTTCCTTTACCTGTGAGGGTGGTCCATAATTCCAAGTTTTAATTGATTCTTAAACTCCCAGTTGCATTGGAGTCACACACATTCTAGAACCCATTTTTAGATTTACTGTGTTCACACTTGGGTGTGTAAAGATGATCTTCTCCCAACCAATCTGCCTATTCTTATATTCTACCACATGCCTATTCTTATATTCTACCATATGCACCCGGACCTGATGAAAGATGTCTGCATGAACCCCCAGACAGTGCTGCTCCTGCGCTCAGTGCTGCCGTCCGCTTCCTGTGCATCCTGTGTAGTACATGGTGTTCCTTCTGGTGTCTTTGGGTCCCAGCATCCAGCCCTGCAGGTCACCCATCAGTATGGGACCCACCTTTGGGACCCACTCTCACAACCCTGCAGTGTGCTAAGTCATCGGCTTTTCTTCTGGGCTTCCGAGCTTAGCCTGGCCCAGCAGCAGCAATAAGAAGTACCATGGCTCTCAGGTGTATTTGTCACCTTTTGCTATTCGTTTCCACCTGGTGGCAGGAGCTGGCGGAGCCTCAGTCCTGGCCCCAGCAGCCAACCTTCTGCACCAGGCCACTGAGCGACAGAGGAGGAGGAGCAAGCCCTGAAGCTGCTGTCTGAGATGGAGGAGACCTACCTCTCGGAATATGAGGTTATCAGCCAATCCCAGCCGCCCTGGCCTACACACCCTACTACCAGTAGGGCTTTCTCCCTCCCTGCTCCTACCCGGGACTCCTCCCACACCCAGAGGAGCCAGTGCCTTCCCCCAGGAGGCCTCACTGGTAAGGTCCTGAGCCTCACCCAACTTTCCCCAGGAGAGACTCTGCCTTTTGGACTGTTCATGCATCCCTGCTCTTGAAACCTGGGGTCCCCAGATTTTAGATCATGCACTGTTTACCCTTTGCCCCCTTCCGGCCCCTGAGGTCACTATTCATTACCAACCAGAACTTGCTTTTCTTAGGAAGCTGCTGACAATAGACAGTCTCAGATAGAAGTGTCTACAGGGCCCCAGGGAAAGGGGACCATGCCCTGCAGGCTGTCTTCACAATGGTCAGTGTCTGTGGAACTCTCTGCACTTTAGTTTTTGGACTCCCCATTCTCTGTGTTCTGGTTTGACCAGGAGAAGGAACTGCTGCTGAGAAGCAGAGCAAGTCTCCTCCTTGCCCAGCCTAGGCTTGAGTGGCTGGAGCCCAGGCAAGGAGAGAGCAGCAGGTGTGGGCCCCAGGCCTCCTGGTACCCAGAAAGGATCAGAATGAAGGGGCCAACCTTCCCCAGTCCCTTTTCCCCTTAAAAATGAGCAGTTTTAAGAGGAAAAAACAAAACCAAGCAATAGCAACAATCATCTGTTTTGTTTTCTTCTTTATTTTTACACGTGTTCTTATCCCCAAATTGCCCCCACCCCCCACCCCACCCCCACTCATGCCCTCACCTCCCTGGTGTCTATGTCCATTAGTTATTAAAGTAACATAATTTATTGTCTTTAGATTAAAAAATACACTAAGATAAAGCTAAATTAGAAAAGTTCATATTATGGGAAGAGATCATAGCAGAATAAAATGTGCTGTTGTTTTTTACCACTTAAATTATATAATAAGAAAACAAAAAACTGCATCCACATTTAATATTATTGAGCTTTGTAGGTTTCCAGATAAAATATAGGTTGTCACCTATATTTGAATTTCAGAGAAAACAAACAACAAATACTTGTTAGTATAGGTATACACCATGTATTTTTATTTGCTACAACTGGTAACCATATCTTTTTACCATATTCATTTTTACAAACTTTTTGACTGCCTACAGTTCAATTCTTATAAGAACTTATGAAATATAATATTTGATTTTTTCAATGAGACCCTCTAGTGCTCTTCCTGTATCATACCAAATAAAGAGGCTATAACTTTTAAATTATACAAGTACAAAATGTTGGAGACTTTACCAGTCTGAGTTGACATTATCACTGATATGTTGAAAATACAGATGATAACTGCATAATATAATAGAATGGACCCACAGTAGACTTTCTATAAGCAAAAAATAAACATTTGTTGTATTAATGACAAACACCTGAGTGGATGGTGAATAATTATTACTCCCACCTCATGACCTAGCCTAAACAGACTGATATCAAAATTATTACTATCACCCAGCTGGCATGGCTCAGTGGTTGAGCATTAAACCAGGAGATCTCGGTTCAATTTCTGGTCTGGGCACATGCATGGTTTGTAAGATCTATCCCCAGTGTGGAGCATGCAAGAAGCAGCCTATCAATGATTCTTTCTCATCATTGATGTTTCTCTCTCTCTCTCTCTTCCTCTCTGAAATCAATAAAAATATATTTAAAAATCCATTACTATCAAAGTAAGGCCTTCTGTACTTTATGATCACTCAGGATAATGGTATTAGTTCTAGATTAAATTATATATATATAATATATATATATTATATATATATATATATATATATATATATAATAAGTAAATTATAAAATTCATTCAGTCTTTGATAAGAATTCAAATTCAGGTTTTGCTATTTTATTGATGTTTATATAATACCATAGTTAATGTTTTTATGAGGATTAGAGATAGTAGATTTCCAATATCTATTAAATTATTTTAACATTAGAGGCCTGGTGTATAGATTTGTACACCAGCGTGGTCCCTCTGCCTGACCTGTGCTCTTTCCAAATCTGGGACCCCTCAGGGGATGTCAAATAGCCAGTTTCTGCCCGATCCCCACAGGCCTGATCCAGATAGGTGGGAGCCCGATCCTGTGATTGAGCTTCTATCCCCTAATGGCTAGTACGTGTCATAGCAACCAGTCCACTAGTCATTCAATCATTCAGTCACTATATATATATATATATATATATATATATATATATATATATATGTAAAATTCTCTAGTTACCACCCAAATTATTAAGTTGAATTTATATTTTCTATTGCCATAAATCATGAGAAGGTCTTCTGACTCCTTTTCAGGTACATCATATTATATGTCAGAACTTTTGAAAAATGTGACTGGTTGCCAAAGTAGAATATCTGAGACAAGTTGGAAATAAGGAACTTCACCATGAGAGGAGTCACTGTCATTTTTTTTTCCTTTAGAAACATCCTATCCTTATAAACATTATACTGTTTGATCTAAAAATGAGGAAATTGGTCCTTAGGGTAAAGAAATGATCTGAATATGTCTGACTTTCCCAAAAAGGAATACATTTACTATCTATGTGACAAATTTTAGATAAGTGACAAGCTTGCAGATAATACAGTGGTGGAATCAATGTGATGTGGTGTCAAATGAGAATACTAATGGCAAGATTGGCTCACTGTTGAGACATTGAAATAAAACTCTATAATTGTTCTATAGTTTCATTTGTAATATATCTTCAATCTGTCATGGTATACATTTTAAATTCTGTATGTTATAATCTTCAGATAACTTATTACTATTATTTTTAATAAAAGTGTTCAGGATTCTCACATAGGAATTCCAATTCAGTAGAATTGATCAGTATCTTACTTTTTAATGGCTTTATTGGTGATTTTTATAAACTACCAGTCTTGCTAGAAAGCCTTCATAATTTTCTGTTATTTAAAAATATATTTTATTGATTTTTTAC